TCAATAACAGTACATCTTCTTTTGCCATAGTCAGTTTATAGGACAACTATCTCAATATTAAACTTAAATCACGACACCGGGAAATGCGGACAATGACCCCTGTAGCATCGCCGTGGCTTGTCTTTAAACAGTTGTGTTAGCTGTTAATACAAAAACATTTTCCGCTGTATTCTGTAGTGCATACTAGTGAGAGGGGGGGGGGGTAGTCCGCACTGTCCCTGTCCCGACAGCCAATATGTGACCCGTAAAATGTGTGACCTTTCACATACAGACAGTTTTTTAAAGCTAAAACAACACCTTTCAGTTGTTTGTGTGGATGGGACAACGCTTTTTTGCAGATTTACAAGGGTTAGTTACAGCATTATATTTATTTTACATTGAATAGTGATAATGTAGACTGCTTTTGGCAAATTTGACTCAAAAAGGGTCCCAATGTCAGAAAGGTTGATCAATTTGTCCGGATTTAATAAACAGCTTACTAATGGCAGTATCCGCCTTACCTCCCATCACACCAAGAATTAGTACAAGTGTGTTAGTAAAGAAACCTTAAATATACTGTGCAAACATTGTTAACTTTTGATTTTTAAATACTAGATAAACCAGATACTTTTTCATGTTTTATAATTGTAGTGAATTCGGAAATGAACCGTGATTTTTGAAAAAACACACGCACACAGTGTTGGTAGTTATCGCACTTTAGTAGGCCTTACAGTAACATAGGGTACGTTTCCAGCTTTAGATGCAATGATTTATTATATTGCATTCGGCGACGCATCTCTCAGTCAAATAAAAACAGTTCAATGAAATAATCATGGCCTTCAAAATAAGTAGGAGCCTAAAACGGAAGTTGAATATTGTGAGTACAGAAAAGTGTTTAATAAACACAGTGGTGTTGTGGTGCCAATTGTCAGACCGCATCTATAATATTGTCACCAATTAACTTACCGATGCGTTAATACTCAGGATGTTCGTCATTTCACACTACTTAACAGTTGTTAGCAGTCATGTGCTTTCCTGTGGTCAATAATGACAAAGGGACCAAATATTTGTTCCATAATTATCTCTGAATGCACTGTATGAATGTCACAATATACGTGAATTAAAGGACCCGCGTAGCTCCGCCTCAATGTGTTGTTAGAATTCTTTACATTCTTTGGGAAACACATCACCTATCCTATACATGTCTCTACCACAATGACTGTCAGTGAAATAATATAATTAATAACGTTAATGGTAACTGGCGTGGGATAAGATAACCGAGATGCAATGTAGTATTTTCGGGAAATTGAAGAAATTCGCCTGACACTGTGTTTAAAATAATGGAATCCTTATGCAAACAATGGCCCTTTTCAGAAAGTATCAAATTAACTCAATAACGTGGTTCTATTTTAACCAGGTTTTAAAAATAATACTTTTCAATAAAATAGTTTCGTATCACAACAGAGGTCAGTTACAATGACTATTCTGCACTTGATATCATTTTCTCCAAATTTTTCTATGATGACTGCAAACGTGTTGAGTGCCATACTATATTGTCTCGTGTACTCCTACCATGATAACAAGAGAGATAGTAAATGTTTTCTTTGTATATTTGATCTCTATAAGAGATGATTTTTCAGGTGTGTCGACAATCGTGCATTTTCTTCACTAAGAGCTTAATCCAAGATATTTGATTCAAACATTTATCTTTAAATAAAAATATATTGAGATTTCCAAGTTCAAATCCACGTTTAATTCGCTTCGCATCGTTATTGTATTCATATCGTCATTTTTAAAAATTAGTACGATCAATTGTAGGGTTTATAGTAAATAATTTATAGAATGTGTGCTTACCAAACATGTTATAATCCATTATACAATCAGAAACTTCGCGAAAACATTTTTGTTGTTCTTACAAGCTGGTTATTATAGTTTTTTTAGTCTATTTTACAACTATTCGCTTCCATTATATTACTTAATAATAACCTTGTCGATGTGTGTGACCGTAGGACCAATTCATTACAATAGTTTGCACGAGGCTTGCTATTCCGTGTTCGATTGGCGTAGTCGGTATTATACCGCCTTCTAGTCAGTCTCGTGGCATTCGATGCTGGGATTTGTGGCATCCAGTTGGAGGTCATATCATAGCTGTTGTTCATGTCTTCAATCATCGTCGCAAACCACGCCCTCTTTCGGCAACTGATGGTTGTCTCCTATTTTTTTTAGTTGGGCGGAAAAATATTCTGGCGGGCGAAAATGGTCTTCAATGCACGTACGTGAATCGTGACAGTGACGTCATAAGTAATAGCGCATGGGAGGAGAAGGAGCATTTCTCTGGAATAATGGTTTTCCTTCCATAAATAAATCTAAACAAGGATAAGTAAGGGCGACATATGCGATGGAGATCAAACGTGAATTGAAGAAGTCACGTGAATCGCGACATGATCACGAAATCGCAAAAGAAACCTTTATTCGGAAGTTCCAATGCAAACTAGTAAGAACTGGCTCGTATTCATCTCGTATTCATCTCCTATCGTTTTTGACAGTGTCCTTGTATGTTCGAGAAGTGTGTGGTACGTGCGTTTTGCTCTTTCAAATCACCGTCCCTCAAGGTAGTATACGCAATCAAGCCCCTCTATCACCGGTCTGGAAACGCTTATTTGTTGAGCTGTCAATCTGACAGCTGGATTAGTGGGACAACGCTCGTGACGGCAATTTATTAGTTGTCTGAATTGTGGCTTATACGGTCACAGTGGATTGGTCAAAATAAAACCCATTTTACGAATAATTATCCATTATTTCACATTTTGACTTTACACGTTATTCTCCGTGTTCGTTCCAATATGTTTTGACGTTTGTGTCGACCGACATGTAAACTTACTCAATGTTCTGGTTTCTGTTAAAACAACGGCTAATGTTTCATTTTGGAAAGTTCAAACTGTGCTAAAAATGGTCAGCTGGTTAAATATAATTTAAAGATAGTCTGATTGACAGAATAATTGTTTGGCAGAAAGATTTTGTCTTTCATATAGATTTTTCCAATATTGGAGTTAATATTTATATTATACTCCAAGGAATAACGTTGAATGTCGTAACAAAAACAATTTTGTGCTTTTCATTTTGTACGTGGTCCATTACAGTTTCCACAAAATACGCATAATGTAGTGCAAGTTTCTGCTCAATTTACCTACGAGTGAATGGCGTAACTCGGTTAAGAAGTGTTTGGTCGTTAGAACAATCCGTTTCGAAATTGGTAAGGTATTTCTTTGAAAAAACTCGCTCTCAAAAAAAATGGATAACAAAAATGAAAAATGTATATCGTTTATAAGTATATGTATGTTGAATGACGCAGTGTTATAACAAGTAAGGCACAAGAGTATGGCTTCCTCTCAAACGTTGGCATTTGATGGCGCAGAATCGGAAATCCGGAAACAGTCGACCGTTTCAGGATAGGTAGGCGTGGCTAAAGCACTAGAAATATCTCAAATTTACTTGGATACAAGTGATCATTTTCAGCGGGACACGGATCTAAAACGGGTAACGTGTGGGTGGGCATTTCACAGGCACTTTAACTTCCGGAATAAGTACTTATCTGAAGGCGCCAACACTATATTTACCCGCTCTGAGCATTGGTACAATACTAGTAGATTGCATTTCATTTCCAGACCAGGGTACAGGAACTGTACTTGTACCAACTTCGGTTTCGTAAATAATCATTCAATAATTTTACAATTTAGTCTAAGCTATCGGTAGAGAACTCTACTCCTATTCTATCAGCCATACATGGCTACCAAGGTGTAGCTACTGAGAATTAGCCAACTTTGTGGTTAGAATATCTAATCAGAAGAAATACAATTGATCAAAACTGAATAGCCAATACGAGTGAAACTAAAAATTGGAGATTATAACCATCGTTGCATACATGAAGTTGGATTTTCTTTTGTCTCTGCAGAAGTTGCATGTTCCAGCATGTTCTGCACTTTCAAATGACAGCAACTTGCGAGAGTTCGCTTCTCGCCGCCAGACTTTCAAGTTCAT